TAGAGTTTCTGATATATTCCATGCACAGTTTCAAAAAGAACAAACATTTCAAAAACATGATCAGAAGGCAATGACTGAGTATTAGCCAAAAGTTGCCTTATTACGGTTAACTGTCATAATCTTAAATTTAGTCAACTTAGTTGTCTAAGTAGAGGAATAAATGCAAAGGAAGTTAATGTAACTAAGACTAAAAGTTTCTTTTCCAAATTTGGAGAGTCAGTCTGTAACTCTAGAAACTAAAAATGTGTGGCAGGTATTACATCTAAACATTCACTGAATAGCAGCTATTCCAAACACAACAAAAATATATTTTCCTGTTGTAGAAAATGAAACTTTTATTTTTCTCTCTTCCAAAATGGCTTTACACCAAATTGAATTAAAATCTGATCACATTCTTCCAACTATTGTCTTTTTCTCAAGAATTAGATAGCACATTTGAATTCAAAATACATACACAACCACACCTGAAAATACTGATCAAGCAAACTGATTCATAGAAGCTCTTCACTATATTCATTATAAATAGAATATGCAATGAAATATATTCTAATAATATTACAAGTGTTAATTAACTCCTGTAACAAATAAAATTATTGGACTTTTGCAAGAATATTTGTAGTTTAGGAATTTCATGCTTACAACAATATCATTTACCTTACTATCACCTGCGGTTACCAATGACTACTCCTAACCTTCTCAGACCTAAAACAGAAGTGCATGTTATTAAAAATTACCATTAATATACAGATGTGTTTATCTCGAATAAAAAAAGAATGTAAACATCTATTTTTTAGAAAAAAAAATTGTATATCCCATGTAAAAAGTACAAATGTTAAAACAAAATATAGCTTCTTCTCCATTGGAAATCCTTTTTTATTAGCTTTTTTTATAATATATGATATAATGCAAGTAAAAATCCCTTAAAAATATACAATTATCTAGTTCTTTACAAGCCATCACAAAAAGATATTCATCACAAGAGTCTGCAAAAACTTTCTTGAATATACATCAATTTGATATTCATGAGGATATCATAAAATCTGTAACTAATTCAAACTAGACAAATGCTCTGGTACCTTCTTGCAATTCTTCTTCAGGTACAGAGAAGAGGATCCTAAACCATCCTGGTTCAGAGCAGTGGAACTTGGTACCTGGGATGATACTCACTCCAGCAAACAGTAAGGCCCTGCATAACTCTGCCAATAGAGTAGCTATATTAGTTCTTTGGATCACATAAATCATATAAATACTCACCATAAAAATATGTAAATACTGAAATTTTGAAATGAGTGTCACTTTGCTATTCTCATTTACTGACTAACAGCCATTACATTATACAGAGTTTTGAAGGATGAAATTCACTATTTTAGTTTAATTCAACTCAGTATTTTTTCTTGTCTTTAGTATCTTCTATATATAATGAAATGTATTTAAGTAACTTAATTGAATATGTAGATGCAAAGGAGAGAGATTTTGATTTTTCTCTTGAGGAAGGAAATTATATATGCATACTAAAAAGTAATTAGGAACTACTTTTTCTGTGAGGTATATATAATAGCTATAAAGAACAATACTTCCACAAATAACCTGATATTTATATTTTCCACACTTGTAGGCACATAATTCTTTACCACTCATACTACAATATACTCACCAAACTCAGCTTCCACAGTAGGCTCAGTGAGGAAAGGCTGGAGGTTAGCCCAAAGGAAAAAGGCTCCCTTGGCTTCTAACACTTGGATCTGCAGCTCCTCCATCATGTCACAAGCCTTTGCATATGCTTCAGCCAGTTTCTTTCTGCTGGAGTCAAGGAAGTTGTCACACCAAACTGCGTGGAATAAATTATTCATGGAGCTAAGACCTAATGAAATAAATAGATAATAATATAAAACAGAAAAAGTGGCATACAATATTTTGCTGAATTTTGCTTCCAGTGTTACCGTATCTTTACATTTTCACAAGCTTCAGACGATTTCTAAATTAGATACAGCTTTCTCACAGACAAAAATAAAATGCAGGCCTGTTAGATAATCAAAAGGAAGTACTGGGAATTAAAATAAGGATCTAAATCTAGACCTAATAAAACTGTATTTCTTTCAGTTCTAGACATGTGTCATACTCATTATCAATTTTGAGCCCAGCTCCCCCAACACCCTGGGATGCCGGACCACATGCGCACTAGCAATTTCTTGGGAAAAGGGGTTATTTTTCAGCATCAATCTTGGGCCCAAGATATGAAAAAAGAAAGGGTATTTTTTCATTTTTCTCCTGAGAAAATCAAGAAAAGGGGGTTTGTCCAGGTTAATGGCACTATACTTTGGACATGTTGAATATTCTCTTCACCCTGATTACAATTTCATCTGATTGATCCATTTTCATTAACTGGCTACACCTTATTTACTTCTCCTGCCTTTAAATCCAATAGCGATGTCCTTTTCATAACTCCATGAGTCATTTGTGGCACTTTTAGAAGCAATAGAAATTCTATTGTTTCTGAACCAGCAGATGTCCTTTCTGTTTCTTGCCCTGTGATCTTACTGACTGAATATGTTTGTTTTATTTTACTGTACCCTAAAAATGGGGGGTCTCTCTTCCTTGTCAGTCCTGATATAGGGTATGATATTTTCATTAAGCCTGTGAAAAGGGGGTAAAATAACTGAAAAAGGGGTTACCAAGCATAAGTACCCCCTAAAATGTCAGAGTGGGGGGGCTGGGTTCTGAGCATAACCTAAACAACTCATGAAATATTATTACTAACAAAAATTTGGTCAACAAACGGCAAATAAATTTCAGATACTGTGTTAACTTCCCATCCTTTCATTCTCTTATACAATGTTTCAGATGAACTTCATATGCTGTTCTGCTTCAAACTTTACCTGTGTCACTGATCATGGTGGCAATAGCATGCTGAGTTTGCTGTGATGTCGAGTGGTAGTGTGAACGAAGTTTAAGCTTAGTCAACAATTGTGGATTCACAGTGTGAATTAGTCCTATTCGTAAACCAGCAATGCAGAAATCCTGTAAAAAGACGAAATGATAACAAACTCTACTTTCATTAGTAATTTTTCTTATCTTTTACCATAAAAATGTTTTAAATATTTGAAATGAATAAGGCAAACATGCAGCATATAATATTTTTTGTAATCCATAAAAATCTTACTTTACTGAATCCCCAAAACATGTGAGTCCTATGTGGGTCTGGCAGATCTTCAAGAGCCAGGAGACTAGTAAAGGTAGCATCGTTGGCAAAGACAGAAAATGCAAAGATTTCATCTACCACAACATGGACTTCATACCTAAAATTACAAAATGAAAATAATTAAGATGCAATTTATACAAACTTCAGACTATTACTGTTATAAGACAAAATGAGAAAACATGATTTATGACTAAAGAAACATGAAATAAAGAGAAGATTCTACCTAGCACAGATCTCTAAAATGGCCCTGAGGAAACTTGGTGTCATCACTTGGCCAAGCGGGTTCTGAGGGTTGGCCAGGACACAGGCTCTCACACACTCACCCTCACTCTGCACTTCTACTATGCTTGCCTCCACCTGTTCAGGTGTCAGCTCAAAGTTGTTCTGCAAAACCACAATATCTGTTATCAGGTACATTGCTCTACTTGCAGCAGTTCATGATGCCAGTTCAATTATATGCCTTGTACAAAATTGCTATGATATATAATAATCATTAACATTTCTGAATTATTTGATACACCTTACATTTTCTGTTCCTAGCTATTCAAAATACTGTCTTGTTGTGATTGCTTGTAATGAAGACCCTTTCAACTATATAAAAAAAAAAAAAAAAAAGAAAAAAAACACTATTGGCTGAGCTATTTCAAAATGGTGATCAAGCAAACTTACATCCTGTGTGGTAACCATGTGAACAATTCTAGCTCCAGCATCCTCAAAGTTAGTTTTTATCCGATGATATATAGGCGATGGAGAGAGCACCACATCCCCTGGATTACAGAGTGAACGTGCGAGGCTTTCCATGCAGGCAGTAACTCCTGGCATGATGATGAGCTATGACAGAAGAATTTTAATATCATAATATATGTCTCAACACCATCGGCTGTTTTTTAAATCTGTGCGAGGCCCAACCCAATGAATTTTCATTATACGGACATGTATTTATACAAAAATATATACACATCTATGAATCTAGACATGCATATCTACCAGATAGATGGATAGATAAATGTATATCTATCAGATAGACAGATAGATATGTATATATTTCTATGTAGAGGCATATCGGTATATATGAATATTCATTGGCTTGGGCCTCCCACAATTTTAATAAACTGCCCGTGTAACATCAAATACTGTAAATGTCTTATTCAAACAACTACATACCTTTTATCAAAAGAATTTACTTGATTTTTTATACAATCACTAAACCATATGGTACATAATTTCAGACTGCTTACATGGTCTGGATGGACAGCCTCCATGGGGAAATGTTGTCGTGTCAGGAACGTGGCACAAGCCTCGCGCATCTCCTTGGTGCCATGAGAAGGAGAATACAAGAGGTGCTTTTTCTTCAAGGCTGAGCAATCATCTCGGTGCAGCCTCTCCAGCACATCATCAACCAGAATGCGATTAACAGCTTGGGACAGCACAATGACACCCTGTTGGGATATTAAGTAATAGCAGAACATGTTTATCTTAGAGTGGTTGGAGGTTAAGTGGAAGTGGAAGAGGAGGTGGAGGTGGAGGTAGAGGTGGGTGGAGGTAGAGGTGGGTGGAGGTGAGGGTGAGGGAGGGAGAGGGCAAGGGAGAGGGAGTGGGAGGGTCTTGGAGAGTCAGACAGACAGACAGAGACAGACAGATAGATAGATATTGAATGAATGAATGACAGAACAGACAAACACACACACATCAATTTAAAAAGTTATACGATAATTCAAATATAGCAGACGGGACCACCACCCGTATTCAAACAACTAGGTAAGAACTAGGTAAGGAAAGAACACACACACACACACAACAC